GTTAGTCTCTTATAAAAAAGATCATATCTAATTATTAATCAATTTTTTAATCAAATCTTTATACATATTTTTGTAGGAAATTGAATGATCTACAAAAAAGATCTGATATGTATAAGCGATTACATTAACCATTTAAAGATATCCGAGATCAAAGTTCAAAGAATTTATCAAAAAAAAATTTTTTTTTATTAATTTCCTACCACATTGGAAAATAATAATTGTCAAATAAATATGCAATATTTTTGTAGGAAATTTAACGCTCTACAAAAAAGGTCTGATATGTTTAATTGATTACTCCAACCGTTTAAAAGATATTCGTATCCGAACCCCAATGCTTTCTGATTTCAATAATTTTTTAATAACTTTTTCAAATTTATCTATTAAATTCATGACTTTTTGAAATCTTTACAAGAATTTTAGCTTATGTTAATAAAATTAAAGTATTTTATTTGTATTTAATTTGTTTCCAAGTATATAATATTTTCCAATCAACTTTTATTAAAGATTTTTTTTTTTATTTAATTTGCCTTTAAAATCACGACTTACTATTTATAACTGGTTTATTAAAAATTTTATTTTAAATTTCTTCCCCGTAAAATTATTAATTGAATATATTTTTTCGGTTAATCTGAGCATTTTATTTTAAACATTGGTAGTTCTGTTGATCAATTTATCGTACTAGCGCCATCTACGATTGTTTCTCTATGCTGTTATGTACATTTCTACATTGCGTACATAATTTTTAGAGTTCCTGAATAAAGTCTTCTAGTAGTGATAATCAAATAATAGCTAACTGTTATATAATATTTAATTTCATTGTTATTTATTTTTTACACATCTACAATGAGTAAGGAAATACCTTTAATTGGTATACCTATGCCAAAAATTCTTGAACTCAAGTTACCAACGCTGAAAGAGGTTATGTGTGTATTTTTTTATCAGCTTCAAGTTCTCAAGTATTCAGTAAAACAGAGTGCTAAAAATACAGTAGATCAAGTTGTAAAATTATGGAAAAATAATGAAATTCCTACTTGTAGTTATGAAAATTCAGTGAAAAAAATTCTACGATGTCACGATAAATGGTTAAAAATAACAAAAAACCTGAAACGGAAAAAATCACCAGCACAAAAAAAAAGCAATCAACATTTCAGAATGAAATCAAAATTTTATTTGACATTGTTAATCAAAAATCTTTAAAAATGCTCGATGATCGTATTAAAAAATTATACTTAAATCAAAAAAGCAATACTAGGAGAGAATTCATTCATAACAATGTACATCCATCGAATACAAGTGGAGATCGGATGGATGTAGAAGAAAGCAGTAAGTATCGATTACAAAATTATTATAATACTACGAATAATAATATACAAGTAAATAATTCTGTATTATAAATCTTAATTATTTTTAATTTACTCAGTTAGTTGTTTTTTAGTTTTTCTTTGTATTAATGAAATATGTTTTATATATTACACTGTTCATGATGCGAAGTATTAGGAAAAACTTTACAATGTTAAAGTTTTTATGAGTAATTTTGAATTTTCCAAACTTTTAATTTTTTATTCGCTTAAGAAAAAAATAAAAATATTTTTTTATAGGTCCAAGTCAACTTCAACATCAAGCCAGACGATAATTGCTAGTGAAAAATCAGAATTATTAATAACAAAATCATTGAGTGAAGCTACAAATTTCGGTTCGGATTTGGAGTATATTCCTTCAATACAAATGAAGCGACCAAAAATTAATATTTTAACTCCAGAGCTGATTTCCGCACTTGACAGAGCTAATGTAAGCGGTAGAAATGCCATGTTTATTATAGCTCCCATTCTGACAAGCGTTGGTATCAATATAGAAGATACAACTCTGAGTTATAGTACAATTCAACGAACTCGTATGATGTTCCGCAAAGACTTAGCTCAAGGATTAAAAAATGATTTTAAAACACACGACAAATACGTCATGCACTGGGATGGAAAAATACTACAGGACATTACTGGATCTAAATCCGTCGATCGGCTTCCAATCCTCCTTACAGCATTTGGTATTGAACAATTACTTGGAGTCCCAAAAATGGACTCTGGAACTGCAGAGAATCAAATATCGGCTATTTTAAGGACTTTGAATGAATGGAGTCTTACTCGCTATATTAAAGCGATGTGTTTTGACACAACTAATGTTAACACAGGTAACAAATCAATGATGTTTTATTATTAGCAAAATTGTATTGTTATTTTCTCAGTTCAATTTTTCTTAATAAAGCTATTAGCCCACAAAAACTAGTCAATTTTACAATGTCCGGCTAAAATAGCTTAGAAAAATTTTATTTCGAAAAATACCCAACCGGTTAGTTAAGAATTATAAAGCAACTACAGTAGAACCTCGCTAACACGAACTCTTATAACACGAATTTCGCTTTAGCACGAACTATAATTTTGGTCCCTTGAAAATAACATGGGCTTGCATAGGGAAAATTCGTGTTATCCGAATTCTTTCATTAACACATACTTCGAACACATTTACGAGTCCCCACGCTTACGAAATTCGTGTTATCAAATTCCCACTATTCAAATTTTCTCGGCTAGCTGATAGAGCGTTAGTCAGTCCGCCTTCAACATGAAACGAAAACAGACTTCTATCGATTTGTCTTTAAAATTGAAAATTTTAGAAGAAGTTGAGAAAGGCGCGAAATCAAAAACTGATATCGCCAAAGATTTTGGAATACCAAAATCGACTTTGTCAACAATTTTAAGTAACAAAGAAAAATTATATCAAGCTATAGCTGCAGGTTCTGTGACACCAACTCAAAAAACAAAGCGGATGAGACTTGCAAAACATGAAAATTTGGAGGCACAACTGTTACCGTGGTTTAATAGTATTCGAAGTGCGAATCTTCCAGTTAGTGGTCCTATTATTCAGGAAAAGGCTGACAAAATTGCAGAAGACTTAGGTATAAAAGGTTTTAAATGTTCCAGTGGTTGGTTGCATCGTTTCAAAAATCGACACAACATAGGGAGTGTGGTAATGTGTGGCGAGTTAAACAAGATTATTGAGACTGATGCGAATGAATGGATTACATATTTTGACGAAATTAAGAAACCATATGCTGCAAAAGATATTTTTAATTTTGATGAGAGTGGAATATTTTTTAATTTACTTCCGGATCGGACTTTAGCAATTAAAGGAGAAAAGTGTCATGGTGGCACAAGAAGTAAACAACGATTGACGGCTGTTTTTATCTGTAATTCGGACGGTAGTGAAAAATTACGCCTTTGGATAATAGGAAAGTGGGCTAATCCACGCTGTTTTAAAGGTATTGATCGATCAAAATTGCCGTGCGAATATAGTAATCAACGCAATGCGTGGATTGAGACTGCTTTTCGGCAATGGCTTATAAAATTTGACAGCCGCATGCGAGTTCAAAATCGCAGTGTTTTACTCACTTTGGACAATTGCGCTGCTCATAAAATTGGTTCATTGCAACTAACAAATGTTAAAATAATATTCTTCCCTTCAAATATGACTAGCAGACCTCAACCTCTCGATCAGAGCATCATTGCAGTCGTTAAAAAAAACTACCGAAAATATTTATTGCGCCATGCTATACACAGTTTGGAGAGTAAACAACCACAAAAATCAATGAACGTATTACAAGCGATCCGGTTTATAGGTTTAGCGTGGAAGTCTGTATCTGCTGAACAAATAAAAAAATGTTTCAATAAAGCTTGGACTAGAAGTGACGCAGAATTACCAGTACAAGTTCATGTTATTGAAAACCAAGAATGGGATTATTACAATATCCTTAATCCTTATTCGGTATGTTGTATTTATTAAGTATCTTTCTCGAATATTTATATATATATATATATATTTATATATATTAGACTGTTTGTATGTAGGTAATTATATTATTTACTTATATTCTAGGAATCTATTTCATTCGAAGAATACTCTACAATAGATGATGACGTCTCTGTTTGTAGGTTGTCTTCATCGGTTTTGATAGAAGAAGAAGAAGAAGAAGAAGAAGAAGAAGAAGAAGAATAAGAAAAAGAACAAGACATAGAAAAGGAAAACAATAATACAAAGCCTACTCTAGAATCATGTAGAAGTGCTTTGGAAACTCTGCAAAATTATGTCAATAACAACAACGTTACTAATGACTTCGTAGAGTCATTGTATCAAATGAGCTTTGAAATAAATTTAGAAACTTTAAAAAATAAACGACAAACTACAATAACGCAGTATTTTAAAAAAATTTGATGTAAAATGGACTTTATCAATACTAATAAAAAATAATTTTTTAAATAATAATGCTACAGACTAATTTGTAATAAGAGATAACACGAACAAATTCGTGTTAATGGATAACACGAACTAATTCGTGTTAACGGATAACACGAATTTCGTTATAACGAGAACAAATATTCTAGTCCCGTCAAATTCGTGTTAACGAGGTTTTACTGTAGTAGTATAGCAGGGGCTTCTGGATATCGACAAGGCAGGAATCTGCATTACCGACTGAGTGGTTCGTGTCCATGCTAAATTATCGACCATATTTTCAGCCCTTTTTTGAATTTTTATTCCCACCATTTTGGCGCCCCTTTTTGAATTTTCATTTCCACCATTTTGGCGCCGCTTTTTGAATTTTTATTCCCACCATTTTGGTGCCCCTTTTTGAATTTTCATTTCCACCATTTTGGCGCTGCTTTTTGAATTTTTGTTTCCACCAATTTGACGTTGCTTTTTGAATTTTTATACCCACTATTTTGGCGCTGCTTTTTGAATTTTTATTCCCACCATTTTGGTGTCCCTTTTGAATTTTTATTTCCACCATTTTGACCATATTTACAACCCTTTTACCGCAATTTTTTAGCTACATTTTACCCCCACTATTTTAAAAAACTAGTTCGATGACGCAATCCTTACTGCGCAATTTACCTCCACTTTTTTATGGTGCATTGTGGTGGGGGATCAATTATATAATGTCAGCTCATGACCATGAGACCGTTATTTTGTTCTTGAACTTGAGCAGTTGAATAAAGTCGAGAAGATGGAGATTTTCATTGATTTTGAAGGCTTCTACACGCTTGATGGATCTTTTATTGTGAAAGAGCTTGCTATTATCTCGCTTACTGATGAAGTGGATTTTTTGAGTTCTGCAGCGCTAGCAACTTTCGAACCACCAGCAGAGTACACCAATGAATTTTTGGTCTTGGAGACCAAAGATTTTTGGTCTAGAAGTCATGGTATTAGATGGGATGAAGGATCCTTCTTCTATAGCGAACTCGAAGAAGTGCTGCGAGAGACTCTCAAGCACAATACATACGTTTATGTTTTGAGTGAGGAAAAAAAACATTGGCTTGAAAAAGCAATTAATTTTTCATTTGAAATAATTGATCTATCAAAGATGAGATTTATCAACCATCTTGAACACTTTGATCCTATCCAGCCGTGTCTCCTGAAGAAAATTCACTCAAGGAACGGCAATTATGCTTGTGCCTACGAAACTGTTCAGAGAATGAAACGTTGGTTTCTCAGCTGTTGGGGTCTGAGTCCATCACTGGAAAAATCATTACAACTTTTTTATCAGCTCCAGTCCTTAGACAAGATGGATCCACAAGATATCGCTTGTTTAGATGAATCTTTCATACTTCAATTCACAAAGCATGAAATAAACACCATATGGTCAAAGCTTCCTCATCACATGAAGATGGACTCAAGATTTATCGATTATACAAGATGTACAGAGCACTATAAGACTATGTATGATGATGTTCTTGACGGTCCTTATCCATTGAAGAAGGACTGCTATGAATGTAACAATAAATCTTATTTATAAGCTAATGTATCTTAAAATAATTATTTTAATAAGGTTTTATAAATAAACAATCAATAAATTATAAAGTGTTTTTTTATTTTTAACTTCCCGCTAAAAATCTCAGATTTTCAAAAATCGGGAAGTTATTGGTTTTACCCCGTTTTGCAAAAATCGAGTTTTCATCAGATCTCGACGTTTGAAGGTCACAGGAAGCTTCCCTGACTATCCCCGCGAGGTTGTCACGGTGTCTGTATGTATGTGTGTGTGTGTGTGTGTGTGTGTGTGTGTGTGTGTGTGTGTGTGTGTGTG